GGCATTAGATAGTATAAAACTTGATAATGTAGTTTTTTTTATTGAAAAACAAATCTAAATAAAGTCACAGCATAACTGCTGAATTAAAAAAAAAAAAATTAAAACCTAAAACTAAATATCAATATATTTAGTTTCAGATTTTAGTTTAGCCAAACTTATATTTAAATAAATAATTTAATAAGTTTTATTTTAGATGCAGTATTATTATAATGATTAGTTAGATAATAGTATTTTAACTTATACTAAGACAAGTCATATTTAACGCCTTGTATATAATTTGGTTGCTTAATAGATACTTCAGATATAGAATGAAATTGATCCTAACCTTATACGAAAAGCTTTCAAGTATTGTGATATATCTAATACACAAGATAGTACAGAAGATAGCTTAATTTTTGATTATGATAGACTTAATCAATATACAAACTCACATAATCATATTTATGTGCAAGATGAGTTTGAAAACTCTAGTGAAAGTTTAGGTTCAAATATTGCTGAAGGCTTTAATACAAATATTATTGAAGGCTCTAATACAAATACTGGTGAAGACTCTAATACAAATACTAATAAAAGCTTAAATATAAATATTAGTGAAGATTTATAAAATATAATTTAGAGTTTATAAGTTATTAATTAATAGTATAAAGTTTTTGCCTTAAAAATAGCCTTATAGTACATAGTAATTACTATATGCTATTAGGTTATTTTCAAGGCAAAAACTCTATATAAATATAGTATTACCGTAACTAATTTATTAGTTTTTAATTCAGTAGAGGTAATTAATCTTATGAGTGAAGACGATACTAACAATGAAGCTGAAGCCAATTCTATTCATGAATATAAAGCCGATTCTGATAATGATAATGAAGCTAGTGGAAGTGAAGATGATTATTATAAAGCAGAGGAAATTAATTATATTAATGATTGGATATAATCTTATAAATCTTGAGACCCAAAAATAAAATATTATATAAATTAAGTAATACAAGTTTTTTTTAAATTTTTAATCAGTTTTTTAATGTAACTTTAATAAATTCAATTGAAATTTAAGATAAAAGCCTAAAGGTAAGTATGCTAAGTTTTTTTTTATATTTTTTTTAATGTAACTTTATTAAATTTATTGATCATGTTGCATCTGAAATTTAAAGCCGAAGACTAAAGGTTATATTAAAACAATAACGAAACAATTGCAGTCTAAATACTGTAATATAGAATTTGCGTTAAAAAATTTTCAAAAAATTAAAAAAAAATTAAAAAATAGTGGATTATATAGCAAAAATAAATTGAACTTTTTTTTTACATGTTAATTGCAATTTTT